CCTAGCCGAGATCATCTCGGCATTAAGACCAGGACACGTGGCACTTCGGTGACACCTCGGCTACGTGTTGTCATTCAAAAATTTTGTCCCCACAATAATTAAATTGACAATTTGAGCCATAAGTCATATCAGAAGTACTATAATACAAATATAGACATATGAACATTAAAAAATAAAAATAAATAACAGGTATGGTTAAGCGATAAAGTCTAAATTATCAAACATTTTTATTTGATTATATCGAGTGTGAGAGAAAAAGAGAGAGGAGTGAGAATGTTACTAACACGGGTTTTAATAGTTTCTATTTAAGATGAAATTGTTCTATTAACTATTGATATTTTTTCCTTGAAAAAAAAAAATTTGTGGTTTAACCCATGTTAAAAAATAAATTCTAAATTTTTAATTTTGTTAATTTGAGTCCTAATTTTTTTGATTTGTCTTCAAATTAAACAATTTGTCTATTTTTGCTTAAAAAAGAGTATTTTAACCATTAAACTCAATGTAGATATATATAAAATGTCTAAAATATATTTTTCATTGAGTTTAATTGTTAAAATATTATTTTTTTGTCGGTTTACGTAACGAAAATATGTAAATAGTTAAAATTGAAAATAGATAAAAAAACTTAGGATTTAAATTGACAAATTATAAATTTAAAATTTATTTTGTTGTAAAGGTCAAACCCTATGATTTTTCTTATTTTTTATAACTTTCCAAAATAAAAAGTATACACTCAATGCATATGATGGAAATATTTTTTACTTTTTAGAGTAGAACCACACTACTTTTTATTTATTTATTTTTTAATCACACGATAGAATGCTAGATGTTAATATGAAAATTTTATAACAAATGGTATTCGCCCATGACTTGAACTCCAAATCTCACCAGACCCGAAGGCCGGCTACATGACCACCGCCACAAATACCGAATTTGAACCACACTTTTACACAAAATGATTGATCTATTTTTAGGCCATATATACTTTATACTACTAAAATATTTAGGTAAACTACATTGATTTTCCTTAATATTTGAAAAAAATAAGGGAATTAAACATCAGTGATACATTTCAAAAATATTTACAGGTGGAAAAATTTATGATTTCAATTATTAAAGTTTGTAAAGTTTATCATTAATCTAAAATTATTTTTCTGATTATACACTGATTCGTTATTTTCCAAAACAATACAATAAAACTCAAAAGTATGACAAAATTACATTGAGCTTCTCTAAGATTTTAATTCACATAATACTCGATTCCATTTTTATCAAAAATTTGTTAATCATATAGATGAAAAAAATGATATTATCATCACTTTTTATTGAAATATATATTTGACTTTGCTTATCTTCGTGTCTTCATGTCATCCGTATTGATTCTAATCACTTCAACTTTATGAAAAAGGGAGATGAGTTATACCAAAATTATGGAGTTGATTGTATTTTTTTCTAAACATCAATGAAAATTAATGAAATTCATCCAAAATATTTTGAGAGGTATTCGGTGTATTTAGTATATTACATAATTAGATAGTGATAAAATATAAAAGGAGTTTTTGTTTACTTTTTCTGCTACGAGTAAATAGCGGTTTTATCATTTAATGAATAATCTTCTTCATGGTAGAGATCACAATATTATTGTATTAATGAGAGACAAAATTTGTCCACTTTATATCATTTGTGATTGTCACCGTCAGGGACGAAACTAGGAGAAGACTATACCCCCTGTTTCTTTAAAAATTATTGTTTGCCATTGAATTTTGAAAACATATATATCATTTTATACATAAAATGCCCCCCCAATATAAAAAAATATATATATCATTCTTCTTCCATCTTGAATTATTTTTCTAGTTTACACCAAAAAAACTTTTTCATCTTATTAGAAATTGCTTTTATGGTGTTTAAATATATATATATACATATAATTATATATATCATATTATACATACATATATGTTTTGTGTATGTGGTGAAAAAAATTATTTTCTTTTGGCCCCTCCAATAATGAAATCTTAGTTCCGTCCCTGGTCACCATTACAGTCAATATTTTTTCGTTGCCTACATCCTTTCTCTAAGACACTTGTAAGAAAAACTCATTAATAAATAATTTTTTTTGTTATTACAAAAAGGTTTAAGCTTTTTTCATGTTAATATCTCAATATGAGAGAACTTGAGGGGCTTGTAGAACCAATCACATGTTTCATTTTGATTATCCAAATCGTTTATATTTTAAGACTCGTTAAGTTGAACATTTACACAAAAATTTAAAATGATCGGATATCGATAGCTATATGTTTGAATCAAATTTATTTTATAAAAAATGAATAGCTATTCTTAAAATTATATTTGTTATCTATTTTTTTAAAAACGAACATGATTCAAACATATAACTATTGATATCCAATCATTTTGATTTTTTTTCATAAATATTCTACTCAACGACTCTAAAAGGTAAATGGTTCGGATCACTGGAATTAATTCCAAAATGAGTCTACTAAGTCCAAATGCTCTCTCAAATTGATATGACAACTTGAGAGAAGTCAAATCCTTAACAAAATATAAAGAAAAATTAGTGAGACATATAACTTTAAAATGAAAAGAATCCAACTGCATAGAATTAAATGATTTAAATAAGCATATTTTTTGAATTTTTATGAAAAGATGTTAAAAAAAAAAACAAAGAGGTCATATGACTAAAAAAAATAAAAAAATAAAAAAAGCTATTTTAAACAAGCTTATATGAAAAAGTTACAACAATCGATTGTTGTGCACATAAAAAATTACTTTAAAAGCAAATAAGTAATGATATAAAATATGAAAAGTATTATGAACCCACGCATTTCGAGTTTATCCTGAATGATTATTGGCCTTGTTTTGATAGAGTTTTTTTTGTTTTTTTTTTTTTTGTTTTTTGTTTTTCGTTTTTTTTTAAGTTAAGAGTTAATAATCTGAAAGTAATAATTAAAATTTTTTCTACTCCACTTTCAAATAACTAGTTTATTTAAATTATTTTAGCCTAATAAGGTATAAGCAGAAACTGTAATAAACAGTCTGACACAGATTCTTAAATCAAAATAAGCTATAATCACTCCCAAAAGCTGTAACAAACAGTTCCAGTGTATGGTTGAGATTGAATTTATATAATGTGTGATCTATGTATAAAATAAATAAATAAATTGCCTATATATCTACCCCAAGTTTCTTTCTATTATTTCTGATGATAGGGATCACTTGGAGAAAAAAAAGGATATATAGGCAAAGTCGGGTTTCAATTATGGTTTTTCTTTGTTTTCCTCCTGAGTGTGGGATTGTTTACAGTTTAGTTTTTTTTTTTTTTTTTTTTCTTATTTTTTTGAGGGGTAAAGTTTGTATAGGTGTATTATCTGGGTATGCCCATTGCAAATGTGTAATTCTTTGTTTTTAATTTATGACTGACCCACTTAAAAAAAAATATATATAAAATAAATTTAAATTATAAGATAAAAATTTTAAATAATTTCTAAATAATTAAATCTGAATTCGTAATATGATTCTTAAAACATAATTGCAATCGGATAAAGAATCTTTTCAGAATGAAAAAGATTGTGGGATTGTTTACCTCATGAGTGTGGGATTGTTTACAGTTTAGTTTTTTTTTTTTTTTTTTAATTTGAGGTGTGTACTAAGTGGTGTGAGACTAAGGGCAAAAACGGACGTTGTGGTGTGTGCTGTGAAAAATTATGTTTTTTTTAATTACTAAAGGTGTGAACTAAGTAATAGTGTACCTTGAGACTAAATGTGGTGTGTAAATAGAAGCATCCTAAAATATTACATCCAACCTATAAACATTCAATTTTTTTCTCATAAAAATCAAAAAATCTAAAGTTTTTGAATATAGCAATTATAAATCATTCATTCTAAATTTTAATAATATATAATAACAATCGCATTTATTGAAAGAATAAATTATAAATACATTCTCTCAGATTTGTTTAAAATATAGATTATTTGTTGTAATTTAAAAAATTATAAATACCCCTTATCAAAATTTAATATTTAACATAATTAATTGAAAAAATAAAATTTTTACTTTTTTTCCTATATAATAATTAAATAACTTGAATTATTAATTGAAATAAATTTTTAATATCATTAAAAATTATTAATTGACTTGAAAATTTATTAATAAAATAACCATTTGTTATGAAATTAAAAATTTTAAAAAATGAAATGTAATTTTTAAAATCATAAAGAATAATTAATAGTTTGAATAAATTTTAAGGGTGTATGTGTAATTTACCAGTATTGGGAATGAAGAACTCCATTTCAATCATACAATAGACCTGTTTGGTAGAGCTGTGGGAAAGTGCTTATAGTTTATGCCTAAACAACTTATAGCTTATAACTTTCAGTTTAAGCTGATTTTCAATTTATTCTTAAAGCATCTCCTGACCCACTCAAAGAATAAGCTGATTTCTGACTTCCACAAAGCTATAAGCTATAAGCTATAAGCTAAACCAAACACATCAAAATAACTTAAATTAAGCTGAAAGCTGAAATAAGCTGTAAATAATTTCTGCCAAACAGGCTAAGTATAATAGAGAATTTTAATCCATCATTATCAAAAGTTTATTATGCCTCTGGTCCCTCCTACTTTTTTTCTCTCCTGTCTCTGTCCTCGCAGTTATCACTCCACAAGCTCTTACATTTTTCCTTGTTTTTGTTCTTTACTCAACTCTTGACATCGTTCTCGTCCACAAACACCCAGAGCCCAAAGTCCCTCACACACACAGGTATGAGATATCTCATTGTTCTTTAGTTTGTTTACTATGGCAGTTCCTTAATCTTTGGGTGTTTGATTTGATCAATGAATGATGTTTTTGATTCTGCAACAACGTTGAAGTTCGACAAGGTTGTGGAAGCAAAATATGGGTCTGTTGAAATTTTTATTTTCATGTTCGTTTATATAATATAATAGAGAATTTTAATCCATCATTATCAAAGGTTTATTATCCCTCTGGTCCCTCCCACACTTTTTTTCTCTCTCGTCTCTGTCCTCTCAGTTATCACTCCACAAGCTCTTACATTTTTCCTTGTTTTTGTTCTTTACTCAACTCTTGACATCGTTCTCGGCCACAAACACCCAGAGCCCAAAGTCCCTCACACACACAGGTATGAGATATCTCATTGTTCTTTAGTTTGTTTACTATGGCAGTTCCTTAATCTTTGGGTGTTTGATTTGATCAATGAATGATGTTTTTGATTCTGCAACAACGTTGAAGTTCGACAAGGTTGTGGAAGCAAAATATGGGTCTGTTGAAATTTTTATTTTCATGTTCGTTTCAGTTGAGAATTGAGGGTTTCAAGTTGTTCATGATTTGTTTGTCTTGTGTATAAATTATAATGACCATTTCTTGGTTGCTTGGTTTGGCATGAGCAATTTTGGCTAAATTAACAAATAAAGATAAAATAAATTATTAAATCATTTTTTTTTCTCTTAAAACCATCAAATCAATTAAAACAAGTCAAAATTTATCCCAAACACAGTTAAAATAGTCAAAAAGTCAAAAAAATCGACTAAATTAGCTCATCCAAACGAGGGCAAAGTTTTAAGAATTAAATTTATGTGAAATAGTTGTATTTGTTTTATTTTTGGTAATGCGAAACTGTAATTCAAAGTATAACCCTTTATTTGCAAGAATCACTAGCTAATGTATGGCCAAATATATTAATTAAAATATAAAAATATATGTGAAATCCACTATTTAACATAGTTAATATTGTATTTTTTAACATTATTAAATTCCCAACTATCATATAACCATATAAAAACCATTTACAAGATAAAATGTTTTTTGCTCACAATAACTAAAAGTTTACATTTTTCTTTTTCAAATTTCTTGTCTCCAGGGATTTTTTATCTTTAAATTTGTGTCAATCTGTTGGGCTTTTCTGGTTTAGAAAGATCTAAAAGTAAAAAATAATAAATAAAAAAAATTATTAAAAACAAATAAATAAAATATCAACACCTGAATTATTTTAGTAGACTTTTTTCAATTTTTTATTTTTATTTTATTTCTAGGATCTTTTGATATAGTAGGATTTAAATTAAAAGTGTTTTTGATTTTATTTTATATTTTAAATTCACTAAAGACGAAAAAAATGCTAAGAAGGCAATTGCCAAACCAATGATTTGTATTTGTTATTCCCATTTAGTGTTATTATTATCTTTTACTTTTTTATTTTTGTACAAACCATATGTAGCTAGAGTCTGTTTGGATTTTAGATTTGTGAAGGAAGTGAAAAAAATAAAATAAAGGAAAAGGTGAAGCTAATTTTTCTTTCCACAATTCAAGATCCAAAGACAACATGACAAACTCAGCTTGTTTGATATAAATTATTATAGAATTTCCCCTTTTTTATGAGTTGGAGTTTCAAAAATTGCTCTGTTTCTGTCTTGAATGAATTAAATCCTCAACTCAGCTAAGCCTGATATGTAGAAAACAGATTTTTTGTTTTTCCAATTCTTGGTTTAGGTTTGTGATTAAAACAGAGAATTTAAAATTTGATGTTGTTTTTTCGCTTGTTTCCATAGCAATCAAATCAAAACCTCTGAATCTAATATTTGTTATTAGTTGTTTGCCATTTTATAGTAAAATTTGCACATACTTTTATAATCTTTTAAATCCAAGAATAGCTTTGTTACAAGTTTGAGCACATGTATTACATCAACTTTGACATATATAAGCATTTAATTTCTTCAACTTTGAATTAAAGAGGAGAGGAAAAAGATTTCTTAGTCACAAGATTTGATGGAGAAAAAGCAATTGGATTTGGATGCTCCACTGTTATCTGTGAGGCGATTTTCATCAGCATTAGTTTCGTCAAATGGAGAGAACAAGAAGATGATTGAGAAGTCAATTCCGCACCACAGACACCATTCTCTTCCTTCATTCAAATCCGAGTGGGAGTTAGCTGAGGTTACTAAACCAGTGGCAGTGCCTTTCCTGTGGGAGCAGATTCCCGGAAGACCCAAAGGTGGAAGTGAATCTGAGGTTCAATCTCCCATTGAACCTTCAAATACTCCACGGCTTCCTCCAGGAAGGGCAATAGAGTTTTCAAAGCCATCATCAGAAGAAGGATACAAAGATCAGAATGTGTTTAAGTCGCAAATTGAAGAGTCTCCTTTTAATGTTATTGCAACATTATTGGAGACCTTGAACAAGGGAGTGGATACAGACAGTGAATATGATGAATATTCTGATGCACTCGACATGCTATCACCCACAGAAACATTGTCAATGAATAGTAGAGTAAGTGGTTCGGATGCAAAACCATGTGGAACCTATTTTGCTGATATGCAAACTCGTGATTTTATGATGAATCGTTTCTTACCAGCAGCGAAGGCTATGGTTTTGGATACACCTCAGTATGTTTCAAAGAAACAATCTCTACCAGTTAACAAAGTGGTCGGTGTCCAAAGGAGGCATGTTCTTGAGCAGCACAGGTCGGACATTGTACCACACTATGCTCAATATTTACAGGACATAGAAAGTGAAGATGAAGATGAAGATGATGATGATGATGAGTACGATAGTTCTGGAAAAACATCAGTGAAAGGTTGTGGATTATTTTCTCAGTTTTGCTTCAAGAACTCTCTGTGTCTATTAAATCCTGTGCCAGGGATGAAACCTGTTACCCATTTTCCGATTACTTCAGCTAAAGAAGTCAGCAGACTGGCCAGAACTGCATATAGTGGACCTCAAACCCAAATTGCTGACAAGGTGACTCTCAAGACCTTTTCTTCTTTCTTTTGTGGGTTATCGTCAGTTTGTTACTTGCATTTTTGTATCCTTGCAGCATGCTGGGAGTGCTGTTTATAAGCCAAAATTCGATTATAGAGCCCAATCACATGAGCTGCATAAGGTGAAGAGTAAGTTAACCATTGAATCCCATCGGTTACGTTACTCTGATGACTTGCGTACGTCACGTGGATCATCTCCCTACAGGGTGGAAAAAGCTGCTACTGCAGAATCTTTATTGCATGATATAAGATGCTCACATATTTTGGTTGGCGCTAATACACCTTCTGATCGATTAGCCAATCTTAGAGGCCAAGGAAACAGAATAGAGGACTTGAGGATCAATCAAGGTCAAGATCAACAATCCATGTCCTTAGATTGCTCAAGATTGCACTGCAATGCAAAACTTCTTTCGAACAATGAACATATTCTAAAAGCAGACGATCAAGGCAGTCCTAATGTTGGATCTTCACTGTCTTCGCTCCCTCCTCCTTTACCAAAGTCACCTTCTGAATCTTGGCTCTGTCGTACCCTCCCTTCCATTTCTTTCCAGCATCCACTGTCACATTCAGGACTTGGCACTCAGTTCCATCACAAAATGCCGCATGCCAAAGTGCCCAGCTCGGGAACCAAGTGGGAGAACATTGTGAAGACCTCTAATGGGCATCATGATCATGTACGCTGTTCAAAGGTAATTTCCTTGCCCCATTTCTTCGTAGTTTTGTCATATGATTGAAGGCTTGTTGCGAACCTAAACAGACTTTCTTCCACCTTAACAGGAACTAGTTCCTCGCGTTTCGCTGCATTTCAAACCATTGTGAAATTGGTGAAAAATTCAATTACTTTGGAAAAATTTAGTTTGAAGGCAGCTGAAAATTTTCAGCATCACTCAAATCATATGTTGATCTTTGTAAGTAACATGTTCTGTTATTATTGAATACAATGTATCATGTAACTAAGAGGAACAGGTTTTTTATTTTTGTTTATCAGGCTATTGCTAAAATTTAAACTCCTTGATTAGGCAATACAGCTTTCTGTGTTTTGGTTTGTTCAAGTTCATGGACCATCTTCCATTCTCTCGTGCTTTTATCCATATGTATGAACTATGAAATACTGTTGTTATCCTTTTCAATTTTTTTTTTCCCCATAAAAAAAAAAAAAAAAAAAAAAAAAAAAAAAAAAAAAACTAAACAAAAAAACATGTTTGGCAAACATGTTTGGTTTCATGTTGTTTGAAGATAATTATTAAAGAATCAATGAAAAATAATAGTGTAAATTACACTTACCTTTCCTGAAGTTTCTGACAATTACAGAAACAACATCTCTAGTTTCAATAATTATATTAACCTCTATTACTTTTGAAACTATTATCATAATTTTCTCCATTGTTAGGCTACTTAACAGAATTTGTTGATGTCATGCTGATATCATTGGTTATAATACTAAAAATGATGAAATTGTCCATTAGTTATCTTATTTATTCAAATGAGAAATTTTACTAACATTCCTTGAGATTTTGCATATATATTATCAAAGACCCATATACATTTTGGGATTATTTAATAAAATTCTTAAATTTCATGCAATATTAAATAAAACTCTTAAATTGTTAAGACATTATTAAATTTTTTAATGAAAAAAAATTGTTTTTTATTGATAAAATACTTAAAATTAAGCAATCTCTCTAAAATTAATATTGTATAACATTATAATGATTTAATATAAAGCTTTTTCCACACTACATAAATAACGTAAAATTTATCACTTTAAATAATGCATTTATTATTTGAATTTTTTTGACAATTTGCATTACTTATTTATTCATATTTTAAAAAAAATTATCTTTTCTCAATCATATATTATTATCAAATTTTAATTTTTATCTTTTAGTCATTAAACTTCTAGTCAATGCATATTTAAAAAAAAAAATGCAAGTTAATATTTCTTACATGATTAAAAAAATTATAAAAAAAATATAGAAGTAAAAAAAAAAAAAAATCTAATTGCCTCACGATAAATTAAAATTAGCTGATAAAAAATGAAGGATCAAGAAATTATTTGAGAATAATAAACAATTCAAACAATTTATCATTTCTTACATTTAAAATTAATACTTGAATGGAGAAGTTATTTGAGAATAATAAAATACTCAATTAATTTATTATGTATGATACTTAAAATCTATTTATTCATCTTTATTTATCTCATTTAAATTATTTTTATTAAATTAAATCTTAAAATTAATTTCTCACCTTCATCGATGGTTGAATTTTTATATTTTTTGTTTATAAAAATTCAAAAACTTCTTGTGGAAAAAAATAGAGTCAAAAAGTTACATTTGTGTTTTGAAAAAGTTATTAATAATAATTTCATATATATTTAATAGGATAAATTAAATTTAGTGCATTTAAGGTTAAGATTTGATGATAATGAATGAGTTTGGTTTAATTGTCCAATTTCAGCAGAGATAAGATAATTTTTTTTTACTTCTATATATATATATATATATATTTTAATTTCTTTAATCATGTAAGAAGTATTAACTTGCTTTTTGTTTTAATAAGCATGGACTAGAAATTTAATGATTCAATGACAAAAATTAAAATTTGATAATAATAGATGATTGAGAAAAGATAAAATAATAATTTTTTGAATTAATTACCTAAAAATCCTATTTACAAATGTTATGGTAGCTTAGGTCCTATTTAAGATTTTTTAAACCAATAAGTCCGATTGTGTAAAACTAAAAATATTATAAGTTTTTCTCAATTTTTAAAACTAAGAACATTATTAATTTTGTATAGTACTGTTATAGATAATTGTTTTACTAACTGATGAAAAAAAAAAGAGCATGAGATTAAACATTTTTTTCCTTCTACTTATTGGTTTGATTCAACTATCCAATAAAACCGAAAACATTATCAGTTTTTTTTCCAGTTTTAAAGCAGAGAACATTATTAGTTTTTTTATTTTTAATTTTTTTTATTTTTAGTTTTAGTTTTTCACATCAATGTTCCATCATTATGATCCTTTATAAATACAAAATTTTTAGTTTTGGATGAAAAAATAATTCAATTTTTTAAATTTTTTTTAAAAAAATTTATTTTTATATTTTATTTTTTTTGCACATAATTTTTTAAAAGTTTTTTCAATTTGAAAGTTGATGTTTTAAAGTTTTGAAAATTAAAATAAATGTCAAATTATCATGTTCCTTTATAGATAATCATAAATGATGAATAATAATTGTTTGAAGGATAATTCTGACTATTAAAAATTTAATGGGACCTGAAGGTCCAAAAAATCTTAGTTAGAACTTAATGGAGTATAAGTTCATAAATTATGATTTGGGTGTAAATGTTCCTAACTTTTTTACATATGAATAAATAAGTAATGCAAATTGTTGGAAAAAGAATAAATCCATTTATGCCAACTTAAAAAAAAACCAAATAATAAATGCATTATTTAAAATTATAAATTTTCACACTGTTTATGTGGTATGGAATAAGTCTTATATTAAATTATTATGATATTATCTAACATTAATTTTAAAGAGATTATTTATTTTTAACTATTTTATCAATGAATTTTTTTTTCCTATTAAATGTTTTAATAATGTCGTAACAATTTAAGGGTTTTATTTTATATTGCATGGAATTTAAGAATTTTATTAAATAATGCTAAAATATGTATGGGCCTTTGATAATATATGTAAAACCTTAGGGGAGGTAAGTGTAATTTACCCATGTTGTTAATGAATGAGTTGGTTTATGGGTAATTTCGTCCTTTTACATGCAAATTAAAGGGTAATATAATCATTTTACACCCAACTAATGCCGTTTGTACAAACTTAACAGTTTGGGAAAATTTCGATAATAGTTACAAAAGTAATAGAGGTTAGTGTAATTATTAAAACCACATGGGAGGTAAGTGTAATTTACCCAAAATAATAATATTTTGCCAAGTATCCAGTGAACATATAAGATAATATAACACAAAGGAAATGCTTGAGACTTGTAATAAAATCTCCACAATTTCACCTCTAATGATATGGTAAGATAGATGTAAATTTTTTATTTGTCACATACTCAATTATGTTGGAATCTACTTCTTTGTCACATCATTAGAAGTGCAATTGGAGGTGATGAAATGAGGAGATATAGCAAAATTCTAAAACAAATGATAGATAATAGCCCTATTTTTTGAAAACTGTTTTCTAAAAACTTGCTAAAAATAAAGCTTTTTAGAAAAGATAAGAATTTTGAAAATTGCTTTCGCACAAAATTGAAAACAATATGAAAAATAAAATATTTGTTGTTTTTTCATTGTTTTTGTTTCTAAAAATGCAAATAACAGAAACAATAGAAATGAAAACATATCAAACACAACTTAACCTTTTTTCTTTTTTTTTTTAATTTTAAATATTGAATAATGCCAAAATCAAAAGCGATTGCACTGAAATAGACCCTGCACCTAACAAGACAAGATGGCCAATAGAGGGCGGAACATCTTCCATCCAAATATGCAGACCATCAGCGGAGACCGCCATACGCGCCAAGCAATGAGTAGCCATATTTCCCTCCGAACGGACATGCAAAACCTGAAACGACCTAAGACAGCCCAAATCATGCCGAATGTCTGCAATCAAATATCCGAAGTCTGCTAAATCAAACTCATGACCCCAAAAAAACACAGCTCAAGCTTTAAAATTAACTTATTAATGATGACTGTGCAATCATGGACTAATTATTTAATTTTTCAAAAATGGACCTTGTTTGGTTTGTTTTTCAAAAAAAATTTTGGGAAAAATTCTCTACAAACAAATTTTCAAGAGTAATCAAACCAAACAAATTTTTAAAAAAAAATTTTTAAAATTTTGTTTGGTTACCTACTTTTCAAAATCACACTCTCTCTCATACACATCAAATCAATCACTTTTTTAAAACTTTCTCCCCAAAACAATTTTCCAAAATCATTTCTGAAAAAAAGCCAACTAAACAAGTTTTTGTACTTTTTATCTCAAAAATTACTTTACAAGCACAAACCAAACACATCCTTTATGTTTGCATTGCGCACGTAATAGCAAGGAGCTACATATTTTTCGGGGAATTATTCACTACAATGATGTATGATGTGTTAGTAATATTTGTGATATTAAAAAGTCTTTTAATGAAAATTTTAAGGGTTTGTTTGGGATGTGGGTTGGCTTTTTGTCTAGTTTACCTTAGGGCTAAAAAGCCTTGTTTGGGATAGGCTTTGTGGCTTTTTTGACTTTTGTGAGAGAAAAAATAAAATGATTATGGTTTGGATGAGATATTTTGTCTTATTGGGCTAAAAAGCCTATTTTGTCTTTTTATAACTAAAATAGTTAAAAAATCAAAAAGTCTGACATGCTAAATGAAGGCTTAAGGTGATAAAAACACAACTTTGCCATATGATTATGTATTTATTTTTTACTTGTAGTTGCTATATATTAAGCATGAAGGAACTTTTCATGAAAGATGCTGTAAGAGCTTGAAAGCCTAAATATAAATTTATTGATTTATCTAATGTTTAAACGTGGAATAAAGATAGAGAATGTAGCACTTGGATGTTTTAATTTATTGGAAGGTGTATTTAATCACTTTATTTTCTTTTTGGGAGTCTTTGGAGTTTCTGTATTTTGGCTTTGGAGGAATTTAATTTGATTTAGACTTGTTGGGTTTGTTTGTGCGTGCTCTGTAACAACCCCGACTCATGATTAACGTATAATCCATGATTAAGAAGGCTTAATAAGTAATTAAAGTGAAATTTTGCATGAATTGTCTGTGTGTTGCATTATTTGTATTCATATCTGTTTATCGTAGACAAATCTATTCATATTTATGTTTTGTTCCGCGAATTGAAGGCCTTATCGGCGTTCGATTACAAAATTGACTTCGGTAATGTGTTATTTAGAATTTTTAGAATTTTATGGTAGGTCCAATTGAAATCCGATTCGGAGCGATTAAATTAGACTAATTTGATACCTATTTGATTAGCTTTAATTAACCACCACTAGGCAGGCCTATATAGGGTCAATACACCCCTTAAACCCACT